CCGTAACCATTATACCTTATTGTCTCAAATGTTACGAAGCGAAATGACGAACGCTAGGGCAAATCTCGTTACGAACAAATTTCCTCGTCTCTGTTTGCCCAATATCATCCAAGGATAAACGGATAAGAAGTAATGACGAATTAAAAGGGAAACTGTTTTTACAAATTAGGGGTTGTACAAAAGGGATAAATAACGAAATATTCTACATCTGACATAAATATCTGGAAATGAAAAAAAGAATGAAAATCATTCATTTTGTTTAAAATGAAACGAATTAATCCATAAAGAAAGAAACCTAACAAATGGCTATGCTTATAGGACAAAGGTTATTCGCGAAATTCTCCCTTTTGAGGTATACTAATACAGTTCAAAGCTGTACTGTCCGTGTCTATCGGTTTTCCTAAACTAGGACTATTGACAGTGATTTTAAGCAATATGTGAATTAAAAATCCAAAATGCAGTTAAACACAAAACTTACTAATGCGTTATTGTAGCCTTTATCATCGGAAGTCTAAGAGAAAAAAACATACCTGCTAATATATGAGCAGGCTACCATGAGCGTTTAAATGGCTCTTGTTCTCGGCAATTAATAAATATAAACTATTTCAATACCTGTGATTACATTGAAGAGAAATACGAGTATTACTCTACATGGGTAAAAAGACGGACAAGGCGTGACCAAACGTTTTTAGCGTGAGACCTGCGGTGAAGGGTAAACATTTGCTAGGAAACAATTTAATTCACTGGGCCACGTCTTGATTCCGCGGTTGACTGTAAACAAATGAGGTGCACCTGGTAAAATAACATCGTGTTTTGAGTCAAGGAGGACTCACAAAAAAGGTGCAAACAAGCGATCCTCCACACTGAAATGTTCTTTTTGTTTCCTTCCCTATAACAACGCACTGTTTAACTTATGTTCCTGAGTGGATTTGGTGCCTCCCGGTTACCTGATCATAGATTTATCGGCAAATAAAAGGCGTAGGTTTAATGAAGTGTTATGTTTGAAAAAAATGAAGCAAACATTTATGACACCTTTGGTTCTTGTTCATGTTTGCAGATAGAATTGCGGTCGGTTGTATTATTTAACCATAGTTTTATTTCTACTTCAGTTCCGAGAGTCGTCAAACCCGGAAGTTTGTCACTGGTCCTGACAGCATTTTAAGAATGAAAGCTGTATTATAATGTTCTTGCATACTCAAAATAATTTTTATGCACAGTCATTCAAAAGCCCGAAATTTGCAGTGTAATCCACCTCCGCAACTAGGGATTCCTGGAGAACCACTTTTATCACACGCTTCGTAGGGCACTTCAAGTCTCATCTACCCAATGGGATAAATTTGTTCAACTTGGTGAAACTGAGAATGTTACGTCAGCTACTTGTTAAATGTCCACATTCTGACGGATCCTCCAATCTTTCTCTGACATTACTTAGGGCTCCCACTTTTTAAACAGGAACGAACTTGCAAGTTTGTGGCTGCGGTGTAATTAGCAGCTGATTAGTTTCCGGTGCAAAAAATTCAGGCTAGCGCCTAACTGACGCTGTTCCGTCTGGATATCTTGAAAAGTATCTTATACCAATAATAATGTTGAATAAGCACAACCATCTGTTAGTCGGTTTATTTAATATTTATCCTCGTTGTCAGTCAATATGTTGGTAGCCATTGATGAGTCGCTAAAAGTAAGGTTTAAAATAAATGAAAAAACTTAAGCAGTATTTGAGGAGTATAAACTTCTCGCCTGTAGTAATTTCACCGTAATGGGTGAGGATGCTCCTTGCAACGACTGTCTGTGCAAAGAATGGTTTATATTGTGCTCGGGCAAGCTGTTACATAAAAAGTAAAATATTTATTAAACTGTGCCTTAAAGTGCCCAGTGTGCAAGACATCGCTGTTGATTGTGAATAAGCAAGCTGTCAACTTCATAGATTGTTTTTCTCATATCAGAAGGTTGTTTTGCTCATACCCAAGGAAATATAGGCTTATCAGAAAAGCAGAATAAGTATGCCTCTGTGCTACGGCTTGAAATTGACTGATATGTTTGTCATGTCTGTCTGTGACCGAATAGGATAATTGATCGACTGACTGAAAGATGCTACTCGCTACTACGCACGCACACCCTCACGTCTTGCGAACTGACTCTTACAATATTGTTCGAATCTAGTCAATCGAATGCTAGGATTAAACTGTTTGCCCTGATTGATTTTTTGATTTTTTGAATGCCTTCATGTGGATTTCGTGTAACTCTAAAGCCTACTGTTGGCTTGCTTGCCTGCCTTTCTATTTGTTGCCCGCTCCTGTTTGCTCATTAGCCCACGTACAAGCTACAGATGTGTCTACCTCAATTTACTACTTGCTTGTTCCTTTACTTAAATAAGGAACATTTGTGTTATCCATGATCTTAACAATCAAGGTTCGCTGTGTATGATGAAGTAATTATCCGGATATCGGGGAATATACGTAAGATTTTGAATCACCTAAATTATTGTGAAATAGAGTTTCATCTCTTGTTTGATCAAAAATTGTCCAACACATAAAACAGTTCAACAGCAACAACAACAACAACAACAAAAACCGGATACAACTGTTGTTTCATAATGCGTCGATAAAACTATTATGCTTGTTTGATAGTATCAAATATCTAACGCCTGATTTTACTGATAAAATGAAAATTTTCAGAAATAAATAAAAATAACCAGTATCTGTATATAACAGTGAAGTTACAGAGTTAATCGTAAAAACGCGTTAGAGTAGACACTTTCTAAGTTCATGAATAGACAACGAAGGTTTAGTAAAATATCTTCCAAAATTAACGTTTGACAGAATTTAAACGCCTTCCTTAGGAAATTTTGAGGAAATGAAATTAAACATGATTCATTTAGTGAAAAATGATAGAATAAAAACGACTGAGTGATAGCAACACAGAACTTGTGAGTCCATTCTCAAGCCAATACAGTGATATTTCTGTCAGACAATAGCTGAGTGAGCGACAGAGTTTGAAGAACGGAACAATACTGTCAGATTTCGTTTCGACTGAAACATCATTGACATGCTCGGTCCGGAGGTCATCAGAAGAATCCACGTCAATACGTACAGTAAGCATTTCATTCTTCAAATAATTTTTTACTGAACTACTATTTGATGTGAATGTAGCCCAAGTAGCTTGACCGAAACTAGTGTACCGTAAATTTAGTCATCAATACAATATTTCTCCGTCAATAAGGATTTCTCAGGATCATTCAGGCTGGCAGGCCGGCACACAGATAAGACTATTTTTACTGGAACTGTAGGGCTTTTGTTCATCAGGCTTCCTATTTGGAGCTCAAGAATTCACGGACAAGCACGGGGTAAAGCAAAAATATGGTCACTTTTCCAGGCTGTTTGGAGGGTTAAGATCATCTTGGCCATTGGCCTGGTCCGTTTAAGTTGTGTTGAATTTCCTGACCGCATTTCACTGGACCTATCTAATCAGCAGTTTGATGTCCCGAGGTACACGATGGTGTTGTACATTGAAAAACTCTTTTTCTCTCAAATTAAATCGTTTACTTAATTAGACTACCTGATTAATGTTACGTACAGATTTTATTAGGGTAAATATCTTGTCATATCTATTTCCTATTGGGGCATTCAAAATTGTCATTTAGAATCCGATCATTGGTATGCAATTTAAGACTGAACGGAATGGGATGCATGATTGTAAATGAGGTCTCATTCTTAATCTGGTTGATGACTTTGAGAACTCCAAGACATCGCATCGAAGAGTAAAATACGATTAATGTAGAATTACTCTCTTTTTCCATCCAGGTTGCTTATGAAGTTTACTTAAGTGATAAAGATGCGTTTCCAAATACTTGTGATCCCCTTCTTGAGACACATCAGATGGTGGAAAAATTGAGAATTGCATACAATAAACAATCAGGACATACATTTGTATACAGGTGAGACTTCGAACTTTGTCCGTTCGTTGTTTACAAAGTTCGAATGTGAGTGTTTTTGTCTCACGATCATCAAGGCATGAAGAATGTAGCTAAATTTGTGTCCTATTCCCACAGTGAGTCTGCTTCACGCGTTTTTGGTATGCACATATGAAATATCAACATTCAGTATAAAGGGAACGCTTTTGTTGCTAACATCACAATCTTTATTCATTTTCTTTCTTATCTCTGAAACCTAATTTTTCTGTGTTGAAAGCGATCAACAAGCACCCGGTTGAATTCCGTGATGGTTTGAAAATATTGTCTACTGATGCTGTGACAGTATCGTGGGGTCCGAAGTGACATAGTGTACCAAGTATTGTCCATATGCATATACCTACTCCGGAGAAACACTTATCCATGATCTTTAATCATGCGCTGTATAGATCATCTTCATTGTACCACCGAATCGTGTTATTTCCCGTCCTTAAAACTAATAACTACCCATCGGGAAACGTTAGATTTTTTTATTTCCATGATGAAGCACTTGTTTTCTGAAAACATTTCCCTCATTTTAGAAACTATCATAATTGTTCACAAAGGCAAAGGTTGTGTACATTTTGTTTGTGAAATAATTCGTGTAAAGGCAAACAACTGGGCACTGGATAGCTATTTATTTCTTTGTGCGACTTTGAATGCCGATACCGCAAACTTTTGACTTTGTAAGCCGAAACCGTAGACCCGGAGCTACACTTGCCGAAGGCTACTACACGACCAGCTAACGAATTCATTGAATAATTGAGTTCTTGTTTACTCATCAGTATCAGTGCCTATTCAATATCATTCATGCTCAAAACGTATTCCTTGGGAGTTCATTACTACCCCTACCCGTTCAACCCTTGTGATTATCAGTACATTTTATTTGTATTGGTTTTTATCATGTAAAGATTTCGGTTATCAAACCGAAGGATGACAGTCGTAGCAGTTGTTTAATACATTTGGTACACCAGTAAACAATTTATATGTATCGAACTCAATAAATCCGTAAACAAACACCATATATTTGTGCAAAATATGCCGTTTTTCACAGATGTTAACTGCGTTTACCGAGGAGAGTGTGACCAGAACCAATGTGTATGTTCAGCTGAAAACAGTGATGCAAATTCTTCAACAATTTTTTCTCCATTCTCCGTCCGCTAAATGTGATTTGGAAAAGATTCACCAACAAGTCAGCCAGATAATTTGCGAGCATTTGAAACTCCCCAAACCGGTGACCGCACCGGAATCAAGCATCAAGTCCCGAACAAGGGAAAAACTCAGAGCCCGATCCAAAACACGACCGATGTCCAGACAGAAGAACGAGAGTGTACTGCCCAGATTGCAGAACAAACTAAAAGAAACGGAACTGCTTTGGCAGATACAAATGCAAAAGTTGACCCAGTTGCAGACTATTTTAGCGCTGAAAATTGAGGAAGACATACAAGAGCAATGGAAATGTCACTGTGAGTGCTGATTGCTACCCGAATCACCCCCATCGCATCGCATTGCTTAGTTGAATTTGTTTTGTTTTGTGTTCTACTTGGCACTGAAGATCCAATGGTCCGTGTCATACGGAGTTAAGCCAAGAATATTAAGCAGTTTTCATCCCCACTGGCATACCTTCCGTGGTTTGCTGATAGATATTGGGTTCTTTCAATCAGTTTTGGTAAATGTACAGTTTTATGGTATCATCTCACAGCTGATCTCACTACAATTGTTTAAATTTGGAAATATTCTCTCAGAGTACAGGTTAAGTAGAACACGTATTTTTAATAACTCTATACGTACACACATTATTATTCCAACGTAAAAGGGTTTTGAATAAGGGTTTAATCAAAGCAGTGATTACTGAGTTCAAGACAACACCTGATGTGAAATTCACCATGATTAACAAATACGTGTAATCTGAATAGAATCATCTTCCCATTTCGACTTTCTCGATATTTTACACCTCCACAAAATTTTGTAGTTACTTGTGTGAATTCTACAAATAGTACTTCTATTTATGCTTCAGTACTACGTATGATTTAATAGGGGAAGTTCACGTTTGTGCACCTACTACTCTATTCAGAGATATTGAAAAATTCAGAGTTCGTCAGCTTTTTGCTTTATTGCTGCGATAACAAATGACCTTGATCTCGAGGTTATATATATATATATATATATATAT